GTGTGTGTGTCTCTTTAAATACAATGAACCCCCCTCCTGAGTTTTCCTGGTAGACATCACTCATTCGCTAGCGAGAATTAAAATGGCAGACCTGTGCAAAAGTTTTGCTCTAGGCTGGAGGTGGGGTCCATGGGGCTAGCAGGACTAATGGAAAGCGGCTGTTGGCCCTGTAGATGTACCACGTGCAAGTATCTCCATCCTGCCACATACATGTTAGCACAAACACCTCAGTTAACATAAAGCAGACAATAACACCCGGCCTTCACATTTAACACATATTCATCCTCCCTTGTGAATTAACATCTTGACAAATGTATGCAGACTCCCCGACCCAGGCTGCCTCATTTCTTTTCCATCTCTTTGTGAGCAGAAGATGGAGCAATTACTGGAACGAGTTGTGTGCACCACAGTGTGGGGAGAGGGTGTGGATTCACTTCAGGAGGCCTGCCATGCTGCAATACAGGGCGAGGATCACAAAAAAAAACTGGGCAGTACTGGTTCTGTGGTGGATGTGAACTACTGAGCTCTCATGATTGTTTAAAAGAATCACAGGGTTTGATTAATTCTGACACTGTTGGCCTCCCCTGAGAAACGAATTAGACAGGAAGAATAAAACCATGCATTCAGTTACTAAGCTGTACATTTTTCAACTTGCATCCTTTTTATTTTTATTTTATTTATTTTAAGTGATTCAGCACCATTAAAAGTAAGGGTGGGAGGGGCATTTCCTGTCTTTCCTCAGCTGTCCCATCCAATAAATGCCCATAAAGATCCACCCATTATCTATACCGCTTTTCCTGTTCAGGGTCGCGGGGGGGATTCCAGTTGTCATTGTGCAAGGGGCGGGGTTACACCCTGGACTGTTAACCAGTTCACTCCTACTTGCAATTTACAGTCACCAAATCTTTGGACTGTGGGAGAGGCCGGAGTACCCCGCAGAACATGCATACTCCACACAGACAGGCCCTGTCTGAACAGGGATTCAAACCAGGGACCTCCTTGCTGTGAGGCAACAGCGTTTACCACCGTGCAGCCCCCCCCCCCCCCAAAAAATGTCTTTAAAAAAAAAAAAAAACTGGGGCGCTGGTGGCGCAATGGTTAGTGTGCACGCCCCATGTATGGAGGCTGTCGACCTCCAAGCAGGCGGCCCGGGTTCGAATCCAACCTGTGGCTCCTTTCCAGCATGTCATTCCCCATGTCATTCTCTCTCTCTCCATGATTTCTGACTCTATCCACTGTCCTATCTCTACAATAAAAAAAAAAAAAAAATAAGGGTTGTAAGTAGGGATGCGCTGATTGAAATTAACCCCCCGTATAGTGTGTCTTCTCTGGCCTGGAGGATGACTGCCATTGTCCAATATATCCTGTCCTTTCTTTCCTCAGTGAGTCCTTACACCTACCAAATACTGAGCCTTTTTGATCAGCTTGTCAAGCCGCATATTGTTCTTCAAGTGTTTACCTCTTGCATCATAGTGTGAACATCTCTACTTTAGTTCACCTGATGACAAAACTTTGGAAGAAAACTTTAAGTCTTTCAACAGCAATTTTTAGTGAGTCACTACTTTAACTGTGTCAAACTTGCCCAATGTCGCCATTCATGAAAGGAATAGATGACTCAATCGGAGGATACGTGCTACAAGTCACACATCACGACCTTTTAAGTCATGACGCTGCTGGCGTGCACCATTCATAGTCATGTTAGCGAAGAGCGCAGCATTTCAACACTCTTCAAACTCTGTGCAACACAATCTGGTCTAACCACCAACTCGGTTCGATTCACTTCCTTGGGGTTTCTTTTCTTGTGGTGTGACTTATTCCGCTGGTTTTTTTTTTTTTTCAGATCACACAAATATCTGAGCCAGGAAGGATTTAACATTAAACCACAGAGTAATAAAACTAAAAGACGCGTACAAACAGCTTCTATGCTTCATCTAATCACAGAGAAATCAATGCTCGGTGTGACTTTTAAAGGCTACACATTCATTCAGTTTACAAGTGTTACACTGCCTCCGCCTGCACGTCTGCACAGAAAAACAATCCCATGTGCTGACCATGTGACTGTGGTCGGTGTTTACTTCAATGCCTGAGATGAACCACAGATATGGCAGCATGTATCTGAACTTTCACCCACTGACTTATTTACTGAGTATTCATGTATGTTTCAGTCGTGCTGCTGCTCCGACACACCCGGGGGCCTGCTGCACAGGAGGAGGAAACAAACAAAACAGTCAAGAGTGCGAGGAAAAATGTCCGCGTTTTTTTTTTTTTTTTTTGATGGATGTTTTCATAAAAGTGCTGCCACTGCTGAAACGCTGTCTGATCTCACGGATCTATCAGCACAGGGATGACTTGAGAGGTTAATGACGGCATGTTTTTTAAGCTGTTGGAGCCGCTTCGTGAATGGTTGGCAGCACATTTTGGCTCGGTCTGTTCCTGCAGAGATCGTATCACACGGGTTCATTTTGTTTAGCTAGTCTGGATCAAACATGTAGATACGCTGAAAAGCTGGCTGCTGAGGCACATTTTTAGTTTGTTGTTACCTCCCTCCCACCCCACCTCCCCCCCACCAAAAAAAAAAAAAAAAGGTATTTCCAAAGATAAATGTGTCCAAGAAGAAGGTGAGCTGTGCAAGTCGAGCATTCATGATGCAGTCTGGGTTTTAACTTGAGTGAATGAGAGCAGATTCCGGGATTACATCATTAGTAGGCTTCTAATTGACTTTTAATGGACTCATGTCATGATGATAAGTTAATTCTTCTCTGTTTAATCAATTTAATCAATTTGTCTACAAAAGGAAATTACCCAACAATGTACCTAGAGGCCGGTTGATTAAAGGCATTTATGAGAACAATGGTAAAATATACTGGTTTTTTTGTACTGTTTTCTCCATTATCTGATTTTTGTATCATATTCATGATTGTTGAGTCAGCTATTTTGTCTCTTGTTTTTTTTTTTAATCTTCAATGTAAAGCACATTGAGCTCACCTCTAATTAAATGTGCTTTATAAATAAACGTCTATTCTATTCTCTTTGGTCGACAGTAGCTCAGACCAATAAGTTGAACATAAATGTGACTATGTTTTGGAACTTATTCTACCGTTTTCCTTCCCTGACATAAGCTGACATCAGACAATCATTGCTATGGATGTTCTGATATCGATTTATACAGAAACCAGCCTGTCATAAATATGCCTTTAGGAGTGGAGGCAGCCCAGAATCATGCAGATGGGTAATCAATGGGTGGAAAAACACCAGGGTGGGGGAGACGTTTTCACATTGACTGATGCTCAGTGGCACAGAGGTCGGGACGTAGCGGCACATAGAGGACTGTGTGTGTGTGTGTGTCGCTGAGATAACCTTCAACTTCCATTCTCGGCCTTATCTGGAGCTTTTTAGTGAAGCCGACGCCCACTTCTTCACAGCTGCATGGACGTTCAGATGTCGTTTTTTCTTTCTCTCTGATAATATGTTTTTTGGGTGATTTTCTGAATGTCTTATAATCCTCACACAGAGCATGTGGTCATGTTTTTTTTTTTTTTTTTTTTTTTTGATGGAGTGAAAGCACCGGCAGAAACTGTGCCGCTTTTTTTTATGTCTTTGATGCTGAAATGAAACAAACATGGCGATGTTTATGAGAAAGCTCCAAAGCAAGGCCACCGGCTTACTTCACGTCACGTATTGTCTGCTGATCCTCGCATGGAAAATACAACAGGGTCATAAATAAAACTGCAGAGATTGGATCAACAGGGACTTGTGCCCCTCGATGATATTACAGCAGAATTAAATGTCCAGTATTCATCTCAAATCCACCAAACAGCTCTGAATGCTTTTAGAAAGAGCTGCAAAAAGATTTAACAGAGTCAGAATTTAGTGTTTTAGAACGAAGACACACATTTTTGTACAGATCACCTTTAACGTCTCATTTCCACCAAAAGAAACCGACCTTCAGCTGGAACTAGGAGTTGCTTTTTCCTGTTGTTGAATTGAAATAATATCAAGCTGAGGGCACTTGGATCATCTTGAAATCACTTCAGCAACTCTTTGATCAAAATACCGAACGTCCCTGGTTTTGACACTGGAGATAGTTCAGAGGTGTTTCTTTTCTTTCTCGTCTTTAATAGTAAACTGAAAATGTTTGGCGTTTAGGACTTATTTGAAGAAGCCGACTTCATCGTGCTTCTTTAACTCCTTGCTCTGACACTCTGTAGCCTATAAGCGATTCATCGATTCATCAATAACATGAAGAAATACAAAATATATCTATTATTAAAGCGATTAATCATTAGCTTACACTGCAAACATGTCTAAATCTAAGTAATCTTCTAATTGTTTTCTTAATTTAATGAATCATCCTCATGATTTAGTGAAAACAAGTATCCTTGCTGATCTTTAGATTGCTTATTTTGTCCAATCAACACTCAACATCTACAACAACAAAAAAGACATTTAGCCTACTTATCAAGCCATCGAAGCATAATGCACTCACATTAAAGAAACAAATACAATATGTAAGATTGTTATGCAATTTCTAGATTTGCATAACTCTCCACCTGCTCTCTCTTGAATGCTTTAATGATTCATACATTTCTAGCTTTACTCTTAAAGTAAAAGGAGCCTGACATGAACGCCTATACAGTTGTTAGTGCATCATGAAATGAGTCCACCATGAAGTCTCATGTCAATGCAAAGAGCCTGAACAGAAACCCTCCAGTGAAAAGTGACAGCAGTGATGGAAACATGGATCCAGACGGACCCTGAACCACTGAAATAGACTTCATGTGGGTTATAAGCCGATCAACGGATGTGTCACAGTATTGGTGGGATGGTGCAACACACCATGGGGCAATAAAACATCGGCCTGTCTCGAGAATTGCATAACAGAGGTTGTCCAGATACAGAGAGGGCAACTTGATTTATCTATTAGGCTACCTGCTCACACACACACACACACACACACACACACAGTACAGAGACACACACAAACAAACACACACACCAACCTGCTCTTTTCTTTTCTGCCAGCGCCCGCATGGGCTCTCCTCCAAGATCTCGCTCTCATCCTCGCTTTCCTCCTCTTTCCCCTCCGATCCTGATTTCCTCTCGGGGACGGACATCGTCATTTTTCCGCCGTATATTTCCAGATTTCTAAGCCCTTAAATAAGCCCCCTTTGCTCTTTCAGCCGCTCCTTCCTCCTCCTCCTGAAACTGTCTGTCTGCCTGCTGAGGATCAGAGGAGACGAGCGGTAGCGCAGAGACGGTCCGCCGCTTGTCTGCGCAGTGGAGACACCCCCCCTCCTCCTCCTCCTCCTCCTCCTCCTCCTTCTATCCCCCTGATGACACCAGCCGCTCTTGGCCCCCCTTGGCGCTCAAAACATCTTGCAGAAAAAGGTGGATACCGCTTTTAATTCGCACTCCTCAGTCAGACAGACAGACAAAAAACACTCCCCCTTCAGATAAGAACCAGCAGAGTGCACACTGAAAGCAGACAGGAAGCGCTGAACAGGGTGGAAAAAATATATCCCAGACTTCATGCGCCCGAGGCTGCACGCAAAAAAATGTTTTTGTTTTTTTATCTGTCTCGTTTCACTGAAGCCACGCGGGAGTAAGAGCTCGGTCCGTGGAGTGAAATGTTTCCCACAGAGTCCTCTGCGTTCATCCCTCACTTGGTATATCTGTTTTCTGAAGCAGAGATATGTCTTCTGTCATCGAGTAAACGCGTCGTTGTCGGTGTTGCTGGATCTGAAGCCGTGAGCTCCTGCCAGGCACGGTGCGCAGAGGGATGTACCGTAAAGGCAGCAGTATGGGGGGCACTATATATATATAGGCAGAAACTGGCATAGAAACCGAGCTGCCTGCAAGCAGGGGCGTTTCCAGAGGGGTGGCCAGTGGTCACAGGGCCCCCTTCAAATCGTGACACACTTCATGTTTTCTTGCCTAACACCTTTTTTTTTGCATAATATCCAATTTGATTGAACGTTAATTCTTAGTCTGGGTGTACAGGCCTCGTCATTTTGGAACTAAGTTGAGTGGTTTTTCTTCTTTTCTGTTCTGTGAAGAACCAGACTAACATGTTTTGTAAGTTATAACAGCATGAATAATAGTTTTTTTTTTTTTTTTAAAACAGACTCTGCAGTCAAAGCCAGAGCACAACAACAGTTACTGCCCTGAAACCAGAACAGAGCACCAGAAAGCGCCAAAAGAAAAAGAGCCTTTTGTATCTTCACAGGGAGGAAATGTGCTCTTAGTTATCTTTGTTTGGAGACTGGTGGAGGAATCATTTTGAAAGAGAACCTGAAAGAGGCTTTACAAGTCTGGAGTGGTCTGTACTTTAACATAGTCCATATTGCTCTGCAGAAGGTGCTTTCTGGCAAGCTATAACTCAAACCATCAGATTTTACGCTCACCGTGGAGACTGTCTGCAGTTTAGCAGTCACATCAGTCCATTTAAAACTCAAGAGCAAAGAGAACAGGGTCATTCAGAGTTACAGAGTTGTTGGAAAAACAAAGTTTGTTAAGACTGAAAAAACCCATCCTGCAAAACATGATAAATTCACAGGCCTACATGTCCATGAAAACAAGGAAAACTATCATTTCTACACTTAAGAACTATTTAGAGGAAAAGAAGCTTGAGACAGAAATGTCTAAATCAGGTCAGATTTTGTTGAGATCTGCCAATGAGCTCTGAGACGTATTTAAACTGGTTGAAGAGGAGGATAATATGTGACCTTTAAGACAACTGCTTCACTGGGCCTCAGACGATTTAAAACTATCTGTTGTTTTAATATAATCTCTAATATAAACTGTGCCTGCTCTGTTCTCTTCATAAAGTCCAATGCCACAATAAGTTAAAAATTCCCTTAAATCCTGTTGCACCCAATCTAGAAAGAATACGGTATTTTGTGCCTGTGTCTGTGTAACAAGGAGAGAGGTGTGTGTTACTTCAGTGGGACTGTTTTTCAGAATTAATCTCTCCTGCCATCTAGTGGTTCACGCCTAAAATGACCCCAAAAGAGCAAAACCTGTAACTCGAGGCATGTTGGAATTGAAGTAGGCTATATGAGAATGAACTATCTCAATGACACCCTTTATGTCAGAAAATAGATTTCTATGTATTTTTACATCGTAAGAACAACACACAGAGTGTCTGTATTTGTTCTGCCCTCCGGCATGCTTTGAATAATATTTTATTCTGAATTTTTCCCCTCATAATCTAACTGCCAGCCTGTCAGTGGGAATAGTGTCATATCTGTGCTGGTTAGCAGTTCAGCTGTAATCACAGATCCATAAAATAATCACCTTCGTCTCTATTTTTAGCGCACAGTGTTCACAGAGAGCATGTCTGTGAGCAGGCCCCTGTTCTGCCAAACTGTTAATGAGATTTCCTATTGGCACAAGGAGCAGAGGGGGCAATGGCGCTGTCTAGACGAGCCACGTTTAGGGCACAGAATACTGACTCAATGAGGGCGATAACAAGGGAATGGTAAATGGACTTGAGCTTGTTTGGCACTTTTCTAGTCTTCTGTCTGCTCAAAGCGCTTTGACACTGTAGGTCACACCTACACATTCACACACTGATGGTAGAGGCTGCTGAGTAAAGTGACCATCAGTATTAACTAATCCTTTCATACACATTTAAACGTTGCTGATGAAGCAGTGGGAGATACTTTGGGGGTTAAATGTCTTGCCCAAGGACACATCGGACATTTGGCTGCAGGAGCTGCCGACTCTACCAACTGAGCCACAGCTGCAACATGACATCACAGTGAGGTTATCTCATGTTGAATAAAGAGTTTTTCAAATTTGTGTTTTTAAAAACTGAGACTGTATTTCTATTCATTTGAGGAGCAGGACTAACACAAACTATTGATCAAGTTTTGATTCATTTGGCAGCTTTGTAGATCCATAGAAGAAAAAACAATATTGTTGTAGAGATTATATTTTTCTTTAGTTGTCAGTGTGTGTGCTCCCTCTCCTGGCCACTAGGTGGAGCCTGGGCTGGTGCTGTGTGTAAAGCAAGGCTTCCAGGTGATTGAATGAGAGCAAACAGTTTTTCAACGGTGATATTGCATCTGATAAAACAGATTTGCTTCTTTTGTTTATCGACACAGTGGGTCGTCGTTTTTGTTGTTTTATTTACAATGCAAATAATACAATGGACTTGGTTTATTCCTTTGAGCTACATTTTCACGCGTCCAAAATAGCTTCCACATTCATCCCTCAAGTGACTTTTTTAGACAATAAATTGGTCACTACACTGAGTTTAAAGTCAGACTTCTGGGATTAAAGTCACAGTTCATGCATTTATTTTATTTAGTTCTGTTTGAGCAGAATAATGAAGAGGAATCCTTTCTTTTCACTTTGGCCTAGACAAATAATAAAAAAGGTGCACGAAGAGGAAATGTACAAGAAAAAAAGGAAATAAATTGAGTAAAAAAAATAAATGACAATACAGTAATATACTATGGCCAAAATAGGTACTGAAATACTGTGGCTCAGCTGGTAGAGTCGGTCTTTCAATCGGAAGGTCGGGAGTTTGATCCTAAAGGGTTGAATAAATATGTAAAAAAAAAAAAAAAAAGTCTGATTCTAGTCTGAACTCATATGTACAGAAGAGGATTAGTGCCACACATAAAAAAAATAGAGTTCTGACTTTAATCTCAGAATTCTGACTTTAAACTAAGAATTCTGACTTTATTCTCAGAATTCTGAGAATAAAGTCAGAACTACGGGTACCTGTAAGGAACAACTCCGGTGGATAGTCACTGTGCAGGACTGAATGTTATTCATTTTGCATTTCATAATTGTCCACACACTTCCTTCAATATTAATGCCAGTGGACTAATATCCTTCTTACATTTGTGTCCAATATTAATGATAATAAAATGCTTTGTAAAATTGTCAAAATACTGTTTTTTTAAACTTTATTTACTCTATCTCTTTTTACCTATATGGAATGAGGGGCTTCATCAACATTCAACTAAAGAACTGACTGTAAATGTGGTGAAAAGAGTAAGTTGGCTACTCGTTTAAGCAATTCCATAGTAGTTTACGTTTTTACAAAGTTTCACCTGGGTGCTACACCGTCTTGCAACTCAAAAAACAAAAATACAGTATCATTAAACTATAACTGTGCACACAGCAGTGACAAAGCATGCCACGGTTTTTGCTGCTGTTTCCCACTCCAGTATGCTCCAGTCATCCAGTCCAGAGTTTAAAGTCAGAATTCTGAGCATAAAGTCAGAACTCTATGTTTTTTTTTATGTGTGGCCCTAATCCTCTTCCATACATATGAATATCAGCTTTGTGTCAGAAATCATGAAACTGGACTCGCGCCAAGCTCTCCTGTTGGATATTTTTGCTAACCAAACTCTAACTAAGGATCCTGTTACAACTGTTACATTGCTCGATATTCTCAGTTTAAAGACACTTTAATCGAGTCATTTAGTTATAACAAAAAGAGAAGAAAACATTTTTAACATTCTGCTTTTTATTGACTCCAGAGTTACACTGTTGGCAAGTTAACAGCTGCAAATGCTGACGACCAAAGAAGGCTTTAACATGCATTCAGTTTCAAGAAGCTTCTCATATCATCACATCATTTATTCCCATCGATTGTTCCAGACGTCATCAGGCCCCCCGTACAGCGCCAACATTCCTCTATCAGTCAGCTGTAGACGACACATGAAGTCCTCACTGTCAGTGTGTGTGCCTGTGCTCCAACTGCGAGTGCCACTCTCGTTGTACTTGACCAGGTTGCTGTCAGTCTGCATGCACAACCGGATCAGATCCTGCAGTGTCTGATGACCACACAGGCTTCCAGCCATAGAGGACAAAGTTACCATCGTCCTGCACAAAGAAACAAAGATTGGGTGTTATTTACACATTACACTATCGACTTATAAATAATTATTAATTCTTCTTTAGATCAGATAAGATTGTTTTGTATCGGAGTTGAATATTTCTGGACTGCACTTTTTTTTCCCCCTCACCTCGAAAACAGCCTTCCACATGTTGTTGTTGGACATCAGGTAATCTCCCTTACGGAGCTCATTGTTTCTGGACAGGTAGTTCCTACTCATGAGTCTAAAACAAAGAAGAAAATCTCATGTAGAAAACCAATTTAATGAAGCAAACACTGAATCTCCACTGACACAGCACGTTTCATTTGTACTCCAACAATAACTTATTAAGAATTTAAAAAAAGATGTCAGTAATCATCCATCACAGAGTCTAACCACAATGAGCCCGACGCGGCTGTTTAAACCAGCTTTGAGCACGCACTGCAGCCTATGTTAGATTACATTAGAGAGAGAGAGAGAGAGAGAGAGAGGGAATGTTCCTTTTTCATTAAAAATCTCAGAAACCTGTCAAACAGGAAACACAACGACCCAGAAATGAATACCTCATCTCCCTTCAACAATATGAAAAGACAATCAATCAGAAGGAGGCTCAAAACACAGACAATGAATTAGGGAAAATTGAAAAGGCAATAGACCAAAACTATATCGATGGTGTCTGTGCTGAGATGTTAAAACATGGCAGCAGTGAACTTCAAGCAGCTGTGCTTCAATTATTTCATTTAGTATTAAAAAGTAGTGTCAATCCTGACATTTGGAACAATTTCCTATTTTAAAAAATGGAGATAAACTAATAATTACAGAGAAGTCTGTGTCAGTTCCAATCTAGGGAAACTGTTTTGTAGTATTTTAAATTCAAGAATCCTGTCCGACCTGACTGAAGGTGACGTTCTGAGTAAATCCCA